TGAATATAGAGAGACCTGGTGTGTTGTTTTCTACAATGTAGGCCTCATATGAGCTCCTGTCAAAGACAGGTGCGTTGTCATTCACATCAGAGATCTGTAAGGTGAGAGTGACGCTGCTGGAGAGGGAGGGCACTCCTTCATCAGAGCAGCTCACTGTGATGTTATACTCAGAGGCTCTCTCTCGATCTAACTCACTGTCTGTCACTAAACTGTAAAAATTATTAGATGATGATGTTAAAGTAAATGGAATATTGTCATTTATGAAACATTTTACGTTTCCGTTTTGTTCTGAGTCTTTGTCCTCGATACTTATAACTGTAACAACTGTGTTTAACTTTGTGTCCTCTGATATAACAGTGGATTTTGACATTACTTTTATTACAGGAATATTATCATTTATATCCTGAACATCAACGTTAATTTTACATGAATCAGTGAGTCCCCCTTCATCACTAGCAAGTACATGAATCTCATAATGCCGTGACTCCTCAAAATCTACATTTCCAATAAGTATAACTTCACCACTTTCCTCATGTACTCTAAATTTTTTACTGACATCATCGAATGTGTTTGTAATGGAATATGTTATCTTGCTGTTTGATCCTTCATCTGCATCTGTAGCTGTAACTGTAGCAACAACTGTTCCTTTAGGTGAATTTTCAGTAACTGTAGCTTTGTATTTTTTCTGTGTAAAAACAGGAGCATTATCATTCACGTCTAAGACTGTAATAACAATCTGCATCGTTCCTGACATCTGCGGCTCTCCTCCATCTACAGCTGTTAACACCAGGTTGATCTGCTCCTGCTTCTCTCTGTCTAAAGCCTTCTGTAACACCATCTCTACATTTTTATTTCCATCAGCGTTATGCTGAAGCTTCAAAGCAAAATTATCTGTTGGTTTCAAGCTGTAGCTTTTTAGATCATTAATACCAACATCTTGATCTGCAGCTCTTTCGAGAACAAATGTAGCTCCAGTCACTGCTGACTCACTGATTTTAAATTCTTTTACCATTTTTTCAAATTTCGGTTCGTTGTCATTAATATCTGTGATCTGGACTGTGATGCTGTAAAATTCTATAGGATTCTCTAAAATGATCTGGAAGTGTAAAGCACAGGGCGTCGTCTGTTTGCAGAGCGCCTCTCTGTCGATCCTTTCTTTAACCAGGAGGACTCCTCTGTCTCTGCTCAGCTCCATGTACTCCTCGGTGTCTCTGGTAAATAATCGCGCTTTTCCTGCTACTAAACGTTTAATTTGCAAACCTAAATCATGAGCTACGTTTCCCACTAAAGATCCTTTGGCCATTTCCTCCGGGATGCTGTAGCTGACCTGCCCGAGCACAAAGCCGACGGAGAGGAGGGAGACGAGCAGCCACACTTGCCTTTTCATTGTTCTCTCCGGAGATGTTTTTTTCTCCACCATGAATGATCCTCTCTTACTTCCGATTATCTGACGTCCAATCCAAAATAACAACACCAAAAATCCAACCATCAAATATTTAAAACTTCCAAAATGCACGATTTAGAAACTAAACCCCAAAACTTGAAGTTTTATTCCATAATGGTGTGCGTGGCTGGAGCGGTGCTTCTCTGCCGCTTTCTTTCTTTCTAATGTCGAGGATATGGAGGACGAGCTGCTTTAAAGCTGCTATTATGGGACATTATGGTCAACAGCGGCCCTAAGAGTTCAAAAAGAACAACTGCACAAGTACAGCAGAAAAGACCATAATGAGGAAAACCTATAATAATAATAATAATAATATTAATAATAATAATAATTATTATTATTATTTATTTATTTACACATCACAAAGAGTAGTCAGCTTGTAAACGCAGAACTGCCTATAAATTCCAACCCACAAACCTTTTGAAGTATTTTGAATACTCTAGAAAAGGAAGAAGCAATTAAAGATACATAATGGATGGATATAATTTTTTTATATCGTTCAAACTGAAAAGTCTTATTTAAAGCAACATGCACTATATTATACATTAGTGCCAAACAGCTCAACAAAGTGTTAAAATCATACAGTGAGACCTAATATTACATGTGAAATGAAAGGAAAAACAAAAACATGAGGAGTCTGATGTAGTCGCTGACCTTGGTTCTGAAAGAGACCAACTGACCTCAGGGGTGTCTATCAAGTAATCCAGTAAGTAAAGTCAACCTGTGGACATTTATCTTCACACAAGATTTAAGATTACAAATATAAATTTATTTAAAATCTCAAGCAGCTGCAAGGCATACCTCAGCAAACTGAAACAACACTTAATGCTCATAATTTGTTATATCACCAGTCAGATAGTGCAACTAAAGTCCAAAGTCGAGACTGTCTGAAAGTCTATTCTCTAAATGCTAAGATTTCCGATAGAGCTCATGAACGCCTCATCACGTGAATTGCATCAGAGTAGGTGTGATAATTATCGTATTTGTACGACAATGTTTCCATCTGTACAATGTACGATCAATAATCCCCCAAAAAGGCCAAATATACGATAATTTGACCATTCCATGAATGTGTGGTTGTAATCAGTTGTCATCAGCCTGTCGCAACTGTTTGTCGGAGTTTTTTTGTGAACCCTGAAGGCATCTGTGTCGGCAAACAGATGCACGGAAGGAAATTCCAGCCAATCGTGCTTTTCTAAATGTTTCCTACGAGTGACGTGTTTGCGTTTGCCTCAGAACAACGGCCACGATTGGCTTAGTAATTCGCTGCGCCCGCCCCATGAGTGTGGAAAAGAAAAAAAAAAAAAGAAGAAGTAGAAGAGCCTGTCTGGAAGCGGACCCATCTCTACTATAGTGCATCAATAGATTTGTTGTTTTGGTTATGACGGATGTACGATAATTTCCCTCAAAATACGAATATTTTATGTCTCTGGTACGATAATCCTACATTTCTCACCTGGGAACACTGGATAGCTCGCTGTTTAGCTGCTGCTGCACTGAGGTGACGAGAGCAGATACAGAGCACCTTGGTTCTCATTGTGTGTGCGTTTTATGAACATTAAGTAAATTTGACGCCGCCGAGGCACGTTTATAGTACTTCACTTGAATACTTGACTGTTAAATGTTACCTGGAGTTAGTTTAGCAGCGTTGAGCAAGGTGACTAATAAATGTTATGCTGTAGTGCACTGATTGTATCTGAACTCCATGAAGAGCTAAGCTACTACATGTGGAGTTGGGCCTTATGTTGAATATTAGCTCACAAGTTTGAGCATCTGTGATGTGTATTTGGGATGTTTATTATAGTGATATCTGAATTGATTGATACAACTGTGTCAATGTCTGAGTAAAACTTAAAACAGACTTTAAAGGGTATCAATTGAGAAGCATTTTGTATTTGGTTGATGTACAGCACTGCTGTAAATAAGGCTGAAACAGCTTTTATTCTAATATCATACTAACTGTACCGTTTGTTCTTGTTTTTCTGTTTAGACACACCGTTGAATTGGATAATCCTGCTGTTCAACATTAAAGTTGATAAAAGGATTTCTGAACGGAATCTATGTGTAGTGTTCCCATCTTTACAAGACCATTCACTGTGAACTTTCAAGTTTTCATCTAAAGCTCTCCTTCAATTCACACAATTATAGTGATGTAAATCCCCAGTCCAGTAAATGACTTATTAGAGCTTTTGTGAAAAAAAAGTATGCCAAAGTTATTTTACTAGAAAGTGGGTATTAAAAATAGATGACAAAATGAATATTAGTAATAAAATAATACATTAGCAATGTTTCCTGAATTGCATTAAAACAGAAGGATCCCAAGCAACAACTGCAAAAACCAAGCATGAAAGTAAAATAGGTTTTTGATAGATTAAAAAAAAAGCAATAGTTACTATAAAAATATGAAACTAGTTATTTTCATATTTGAGAACAGAACACAGAAAACATTCTAACCTCTATAGGAGAGTCAGGTTGGTCCAGGGGGTTCTTGTCACTCTGTATCCTCTGCATGGTCCCTGTAGAACTGGGCTCCATTATCAACACGTTCTGACTCG